TTTTTGTTTGCATATATGACATTGCACTTGGACATAGTTGGCATCCTTATTAGGAAAATTGGAAATGGTGAAGGCCACATCAGTGACATCTTGTGTGGTGGCCCCAAGATAGCCTAAACAAGTTTATTCAGTAAGAAGATATGAGAGGCAATCATCCAATGGTGGAGTGGGAGTGCAGTGAAGGATTGATGCTCTTATGCTTTCAAACTCTGAACGCAACCCCATAAGGAAGTGAAATAAACGAGACTGATTCCGTTCTTTAGTAACAGCTTCAATGGGTGGCTCTGTCTCAATTGAGTCCATCGCATTCCATATGTCTGAGAGAGTATTAAAATAATTTTGAATTGATGAATCCCCTTGTTGTGTTTTCATGCTCTCTTGTTTAAGGGTATACATATGAGCAGTGTATGCTTGAACATAAATTTTCGGTAAATAATCCTACATTGCTTTGACACTATGATGATACGTGAGGTTGCGCCCAATTTTGGGCTCAACTGAGTTCATAATCCATGTCACAATAGAACTATCTATGGCAAACTAATCACTATGCCCATTCTCATCATTAGGTTGGGGAACAGAACCATCAATATAGTCCCATAACTTCCTTCCCATGAGAAAACGTCTCATTTGAAAAGATCACAAGTTGTAGTTCTTTCCATCAAGACGCATAGAAATAGTAGCACTCTCCGTATCATTCTTGGATTCCATCATGATCAGAGATATGGCTCACAAGAAGTACTAGTACTCAAAAGCCAAGCTTTTAGAACACGAAAATAACAACTACAACTTGATGGATTAAATATCGGCCAAGATACACCAACAAATTTTTTTTTTTTTACTCCAAGAAGACAAAATAAAAAAATAAGAACGAGGGTAATGTAGGAAGAACGAAGGTTTACATAGGAAATAACAAAGTCCTTATTGCTGCTCTTAGGGAAATTTGAAATGGAGGAAACTAAGCATTGTTTAAAGGAAAACAACAAGAAGACAAACAAGGGTGGGATGAGGAGAATAAGATAAAAAAATTCAAGAAGAAGAAGATTTGAAGGCAAAAGCAACGACGCTGACTACAATAACCAAGTAAATGGAAAAAAGAAAAAGGTTCGCACTTCACGAGTGTCGAGAAAGAGATATTCGGCCTTTATTTATTTAATAGAATAAGCACAATAAAAGTGTTAAACACCAGACGTTATCGTTCATAAGGCATGGGCTGGTGGCTGGTGGAAATTCTCATTTATTTTGTGTTTTTCTTTTAGTTTACCTTGAATTATTGGAATTATCCTCATGGCTTGTGATTCTAGGGGGCAGGTTGGTGGATTGCCTGAGTTTATTTTTCTAATCCGAGGGGACGTTAACATTATTAATGATTTTTCCTTGAGTCCAAACCACGAAGTCTATTGAAAATTGAATTTTTGATAATTTAGATATTTTTGGGATTTCTACAATATAAAACAAACAAAAATAATAATTTGGGAAAAGATAAATCAAGACATAACATGTGAGCCCTAGGCACATGTGATGTCCAAGTGACCAATGGGACTGACATAGGCCCCTAAGGGCCTACAGCCTAGCCACTAGGGCCCATCAGTGATGATATAATCACCCATTCTCTCTCTTTTTTTTTATCATTTTTCTATTTTTTAAAGAAATCAATTTTCACACAGGAATGATAAGATATTTTCGCTCCCCTCTTCACATAAAAAAAAGATAGAATGAAAGAGACAGACCCCCTCCATCGGTGGCATACCTTCATTCTCTTTATAAATCGCTCTATAGGAGAGCTCAGGTTATTTGCCTCTTTATCTTATCGAATTGTTCAAATTAAATGTAAATGAAACTAAGTATTTATTACAAATTGAGATAAACTTTAAATTAAAGGTCAATGAGGGTTTAAAACATCTAAGGGATAATATGTGATATCACCATTGATTTGTGATAGGTAGCCGATAGATGGATGACTTAATGCAAGCTGTACTTCACCCATGCTCAATAACTCGTATTCCTCCGCCAATAAGAACATTCTTGACTCTTAACTGAATTATAATCTCAGACCATAAATAGGAAATATGGGAGACCCATTTTTATCGTTCACGTTAATTTTAAGCTACCCATTTCTTTAGAAGTCATAATTAGCCTCCCCGCCATGAAGCCCAGCAACAATGGGAATAAGGGACTTCAGCTGTGGCCAAAGAACCTAGCCCCTGCCCCATGTGTGAGTAAAAAAGGGGGAGGGGGAGTAGAGATTTGGTTAATACTAAGGATGGATTTGTGCGTTAACAAGAGAGAGAGAGAGAGGGATTTCAGTTTTGGTTTTAAGGAATGATAGATATGGGTAATATGTGAGAGAGAGATTTAGCGAGGTGAAAGGGGACGAGGGCACCTACTTTCTCAAGGACCGGGGGTGAGCCTCTTTCGGTCCGGTAAGTTTTAGAGAGAGAGAGAGATGGGTTGGGATAAATAGTGGGAAAGTGTGGATATGAGAGTGAGAGAGATTTGCAATAGGGTAAGGTGAGAGGGAGAGTTGCAATAGAGTTAAGAGGTGGGAGGGGGAGAATAAGGTAAGGTGAGAGGGAGAGTTGCAATAGAGTTAAGAGGAGGGAGGGGGAGAGAGTGAGTGAGATGAGTTGTAGCAAGGGTGAGGGCCACCTTGGCATGTGTGCATATATGAGGAAAAGAGAGACTTAAATGGTGGCATGTGTGCATATGTGAGGAAAAGAGAGACTTAAATGGAGAGATATATCCAAAAGTTTTGTAGAATTTGAGGTTTTTATTTTATTTAAAAAACTTATCAATATTAATCTCAATCGAACGTAGGATATTTTTATATTAGGTTATTTTCGTTATCACCGTATCCAAAAAGGTAAGAGGGCACCTATTGTTTTTTATATTAGGTTATTTTTTATATCACCGTTTCCAAGGGGGCACCTATTTTCTCATGCACAGACAATCGTAAGCTTCTTTGGGTTTTGCGTCGGGTGAGAGAAATGTATTTGGATTGGGATAAATAGCAGGTAAGTTGTGTATATGAGAGTGAGAGAGATAGAGAGAGAGAGTTGCGCATAGGGTAAGGCTGGAGAAAGCGTTGCAATAGACTTAAGAGGGGGAGAGAGAGTTGTAACATGTTAAGGCACATTGTGTGCGTATGTGAGAGACTCAGGAAAGGTGAGAGCGGATGAGCGCACCCATATTTTCAGTGAGAGAGATATTAAGCTTCTTTAGATTGGGTGAGCTTTAGAGAGAGAGAGAGAGGGGGACAAATCTGGTTTGGACGAATAGTGCGTAAGGTGTGCATGTGGGAGCTAAGAGAGAATTTTGCAATGGGGTAACCTATTTTCTTTTAGAGAGAGAGCGAGTTTCTTTGGGTTGGAGGAGCTTGAGAGAGACAGATTTGCGTTGGGATAAATAATGGGTAAGGTGTGACCAAGATAGAAGTGTTTTGCAGTAGGAAAAGGTCATATAGAGTTGCAATAGCGAGGTGGGTGTGTGTGTGTGAGAGAGTTGCAACAAGGCTAGGGTGTGTGTGTGCACGAGCGTTTGTGTGTATGTGTGAGAGGAAGATTTGGGTTGGAATAAGTAGTTGTGAATTTGGAGCGAGGTAAGGCGAGAGGGAGAAGATGGGAAGAGAGATTTGATTTAGGTTGGAATAAGTAGTTGTGAATTTGGAGTGAGGTAAGGCGAGAGGGAGAGTGCAATCAAGATGAGAAGAGACAGATTTGAGAGGAGTAAGCTTATGTAGATGGGTGAGCTTTAATATGAGAGAGAGATGGCGCAAGCTTATTTAGATGGGTGAGAGAGAATTGCAGAAGTAGAGAAGGGACTAAAGTCGTGCTGGTAGCACCTCACACCGCACGTTGTGATTTTCATTCTCATCATTAACATCACCCTACCGACACTTTCAAAAAGCTAACTTCTAATCTACTTGAAAAAACAACAGGGTAAGGCCTCGTCTTCCCCCCCTATGGTAGAGAGAGAGAGAGTTGCAATGAGCCATCGGGCACTTGAGGGGTAGAGAGAAAGTAAAAACGAGCCTTTTCTATATAATAATAAGCATAAACGGGGCTTCATTGGCTTGCGTGACTTCCAAAGAGGGAGAGAGCCTGTGAGCCCAGGCTATCAAATGCGCTTTAAGTAGTTTACATAAAATTTCAAACTCTTGTAAATAATATGTAGGATCATGAAAACAAAAAAGATGACAACGAACTTTCTATGTGACCCTATGCTTATATCTAGTATATGTAACCCCTGGTCTCAGCCGTCAGATCTGAATAAATGACTGCGATGATTTGAATCACAATATCAAAAGCCAGCTAAGCAAAAGCCAGCTCTTAACTGTCAGGATCTTGATTAGATGGCTCATAATTTTTTTTTTATATTTTTATTCTATAAATAATTTTGAGGCACAATTTAGAGCATGCATAGATCACATGACAAAAATAATAAAAAATATTTCCAGCTTAAAAATTACCAGAATACCCCTGAACATTTTAGGAACATTTTGATCACTTATTTATACAGAAAATATTTTTAATGGTGTGCATGATGATATAAGATCGTTAAAAACATGAAAAAGTATAAATGATTCATACAAGAAAGTGGGCATGGAATAAGACCATGAATCAGACAAACAAATTTAACAAAATAAATAACTTTCAAAGAACACAAGCTCTAGAACAACAAATCCATTAGCCTATTAACAATCAACAAATGATCACCGCTTGCCCTAATGCAGTACTGCACATTTCTTCCAATGAGTGAGTTCCAAAGGTAACAGTGGCGACAGCGCAAATATCTATGGGGTTGGAGGTATCACCATTAGTATATGCTATACCACTGCAAGATATTGCAGCCCAGTTCATATATCCTTGAATATCAGATCTGGACTTTACCAGGAAAAAGATGAAACAAGAAAATCAAAATAAAACAAAACAAAACTAGGAGAACATAAACACGTTTTTGCAATATAGGCTAAATCTCTAAATAAAGAAAATACTTTTTTGTGCAGTTCAAGCAACCAGATTACATTACCATTCCATTTCACGTTTCACCATGTACCTAGAAAAAGCGGTTTTTACAAATAAACAATTTAGCCAGAGTGTCACTAGGACAAACTCACCTTTAAACGTCAATAATTTATGGACACGAGGTTTATCTTTATTATAAGTTATATATGCCTTGATCAGAAACGCAGAAAGTTACTCATGTTGAAAGTTGTGCTAGAAGCGTCCACAGCGTTAAGAGAAAGAGTTGCTATCAGAAACGAAGGGATCCCCACATGGGCAGCCCTTTATTTACAGAAACATACATAGAGCGTATGGGTCCCTCGACTGTCCTAATTCATACCAACTCCCAGTCATCGATTTCAGAGGACTCAATAGTCTGCCATTTCTCAGAGTCCAAGGCTTCAACAAGAAATGAATTTGAGCAATTTCCCTCCTTTTTCTTCATTTCCAAATTCATATCTACATCGTACCAATATGCTACCTGCTCAAAGTCATCTACCTTCGCCAATGGAAATTTTGCGGCAGAAGCTCCCTGTAATTTAGAAAACAAAAATCAAGAAACCGGAATAAAAAACAAAATTCTCAGATGCACTTTATTCAGCAAGAGGTTATTAGTGGGAACCCCTCTAGATACCTTTGTTTTACTTGACTGGCTAGAGATAACACGAGCTGGTTTATTTGCCACTAAGCATTCTCCATGCTCAGTTTCCTGAAGTTCTTCGACATGGGTTGCATTCAAATCAATCCCAATATCCTCCTTGTTCAGCTCTCTGGGTACTGAATCATTAGAGCTTCCAGCAACAAGATCTGGTGGAATAGCAGATAGGGAATGAGAAGATTAAGAACAACCACCCCTATCGTTTCAACAAAGGGAACGGCCAAGAAAATCTATAAAAACAAAAGTGCCAACCACTACTACAGACATGCTGAGATTTTAATATACTGAAAAAAATACATAAAGTGTCAGACCTCTGAAGCATTAGTGCTGTCACAAGAGAATGCAAATCTGATAAGAAATGGATGACCGAATCAGATAAGAACCTATGTTTTTCAAGCAAGATTCAATTCAGATTTTATAAATAAAATATAAGTAAAACAGCTATTCTTTCTCATCTTCCAAATATTCTTTCTTCTCTTGGATGAAATGAATGGGTGGGGGCATTACACACAGTCCAAACAGGCTAAAAGGATGGTGTCCTTATTTTGACCCAGTTCAGGCAGTCATACCCTGTGCAATTGCCCAGGAGAGTTCGTTTTTAAAATACATCAGTTTATTCTGAGATACAACATGTCAATAATTATACCAGTAACATTACGAAACGACCACAATATTGTTGCTGCAGAAATTGCTACAACATGTTTCCACAAAACAGCACTTTATTTATTTAATTATTTAATTTTCTTAGTATTCCAATAAAAGGGTTCACCACCACTATAAAGATTTTGACCAAACAAGCAGGATAACACATTAAAGACAGAAACACTAACAAACTGGTACGCTAGTCCCACATTTGATGTTGAATTACTGGGACACCTAGCTCTTCTCCAAGAACCTATTGCTTATTAGTACATTCTCTGTCCCAGACATTGCAGGATTGTTGCAATTGACATTCCAACCAGTGAACTAGAAAATAAATGTACCATCATGTGTAGGTTCCTTCTTCCAGGATGTATTGCTCTTACTTTTATTTATATTTTAGCTTGTTTTTTTACGAGATACATACATATCATAATCATGACTAACCAATGGTTTAAAACATGATGAATCAGCCTCAGATTCGCTCACACAGACACGAAGGTGTCAATTCAGTTCAGAAACACAGAGTCACCCAAGTCTCCTTTGATTGACGCTCCCTTGTTTCTTTTTCATAGAATTGGCGAGTCCTGGTGAGACTCAGCCAAATCAGACTGGCTGACCCAGGCTCGTGACCCTAGTGAGTCCCGACACAAGTCTAAGATTAAATCATTGAGAATAATAGAGTACCCAATGTATGGGTATCATCTTCCTGTTGGTGCTCATGCACAACCTGCAATGCTACCATACAGACATGCAAGCCAAGAAAAAATATGGCAGTCAGTCTATCACATGATTTGAAAGGAGGGGATATCAGTAATCTATCACATGATTTGAAAGGAGGGGACGTCAGTAATCTATCACATGATTTGAAAGTAGGGGATGTCAGTACCAGAAAAACACACCATGACCTAAACAATGAAGGGCAAAGAAATGGAGGTTAATCTTAAGAAAATCCAAATTGACAAATAATATCTCCAAATATGGTGCTCATAATGCATTTGTAATATTTATTTTTCAAGACCTACACGAGTGTGACCACACTGTAGTTGCTGGGATCTCCCAAACTAGGTGGCTATCTTGCTCCAGAATCTTGCTTTGATGCTTTAATAAAATGACCTTCAAGGGATCTTAATTTTTAAATTTTGGGATCTCGATGCTCACTATTAGGTATTTAAGCCCCACCTTAAAAGCCAAGATAATTACCAAACTAATATTCTCCTTTACTTATATCATACTACCAATGCAACTATTCTTTTAGTATAATCGTATTGCTTGCTGGCTATAAATAAAAAGATCCCTACTTATATGTGTGTGTGTGTGTGTGTGTGTGTGTGTGTGTGTGTGTATATGGAGAAGTCTTAAAAACATCTATGGGCGAAATTGAATAGTATTTCACCCCACAATGGACATAGCATGTCCATTGCAGTTTTGCCTTAAAAAGCGCAACGGATCTATGAGAGCCGTGCCAGAATCCCGTGTTTTTTGACATGAAAAAACTCCACAACGGACATAGCAGCAACAGACATGCAATGTCCGTGGCGGTCTTTTAATCCACACCATCTATTGTACAAACAATAATCGTACTTTCGGTCCTTAAATCGCTTTGATCATACTCCAGATTCCAACAACTATGACTGAAATGACTCTTGGACAACTCTTCCGAGATGGATGAGTTTGAAGACTAGGGTATTCTTGAGGAGCTTTCAAGCTTCCCATTGATTATATTACATGAGAGCCTCTTACGTTCTTTAGTGCTTTTGACTTTCTTTGTTGTGTTCCTCCTAAAATCCCTATAGATATCCTGAGTGGGCCATTGTATCCAAATATAAATCACCCTATTGTGTTTTACCCATGTATGTATCTTCATGCTTTTATTTTTGTGGATACCTCTTAGTCAATGTGGGAGTATGTTCTGGTTGAGTATCTAGAGCATGGCATGGGTAGGGAGCTGAGCTCAATGTGTGGGACATAGTGGGCTTCATCACTCTCGCCTTGGCATGCGAGTAGGCCTTGACTAGATGAGCGAACCCCCACACTAGGCTGGTTGTGTTTTATCCCATGATGCACATTGCTGAAATAGGTCCATGGCAATGTTCAAAAAGGTGGAGGCGGCCACCTAGGCGGCCAGTGGTCTTGGCCACCTAGGCGGCTAGGCAGCCATCTTGGCAGGCGCCAAAATACCTGGGCGGCCCTAAGGGCACGGGGTTGGGCAGGGCCATATGTTGTTGTGTGTATGATTGTTTGTGAATGTGTGTGAGTATGTGTTTAGTATGTGTCTGTGTATGTGCGTGTGTGTGTGTTCGTACGCGCGTATGTGGTTGTTAGGCCTCGCATGAAATTCTTGAAGATCATCCTCTTTCTTTTTTCCTTTTGGATCCCTATTTGTGAGAGAGGGGTCTCAAACACTTGGAGGATGTTCTTCTTTCTCTTCTTCTAATATGTCAAGAGAGAGAGAAAGAGAGAGAGAGAGAGAGAGGGAGAAAGCGAGAGAGGGACCTCATGTCGAACACTTGGAGGCCATCTTCTTCTTTTCCTGCTTCTTAATATAAAGATGGAGGATATGGGTCCATGTATATCTCTTTGTGTGTATGCGTGTGCGTGAGAGAGATAGAGAGCAAGGTTGTTTATCGACCACTTGGAGTCTATCTTCTTCTTCTCCTCATATGTAGAGAGAGCACATAGACCGGAGAGAGAGAGAGAGAGAAGGGCAATACACAGGCCTAATTTTTGTTTGGGTGGATTTGATTTTTTTTTTTTTTTGCAGCCGTGGCACTAGGTGGATGCCCAGGACCCGTCTAGGAGGGCGCCCGCCTTAGGCATGCCCGCCCAGACCCCACCGCCTAGGCGGTTTGTCGGCCAAGCCACCTAGGCGATTGAACGGCCGACTTTTTCATCACTAGTCCACGGGTACCCTGTCGAGGTCGGCAACAGCCAAGATGGATACTGCTTGGTTGGCCAGGAGATGAAAGAGGCTCCTATGACGTAGAATGTTTAGGGGCATGTGAGGCCAAGCACCTAAAAATCTCGACAATGAAAATCCTACATAGCATGTATGCTACTAGTTGCCTCGTTGCCTCATATCGGTGTGATCTGGACTTATGTTGAGTCTATGTAGCTGTTTGCATGCATGTGCCTAAGAGAGACTCCCCGAAGGAGGAAACCTGAGACATTATCATGAATTTTGGTATGTGCACTGGACCCTAAGCTTGTCCATGAGGAAAGCACATGGAATCCATGACTACTCAGGCACTTCTATGCCTTGGCAAGCTTTGATAGGCTAATCAGGAGCCCATTGCATGGGAGATATGTGGGTCATGGATTTGTTAGGTTGGTTTGAGGTCTCCAAGAGGTCATGGGGTAGTCATGAAGTGCCTAGTAAAGGGTTCAGTTCCATCGCTAGCACAATCTTCCAAGTTCTTCTAAAAGTGATTTTTAAAGGGTGTTTAAGGAGAGTAAATATTCTGTAATTTTTCTAATTAATAACTTAATTTATATGAAGTGTTTTTGGTTTTAAAATAAGGTTATCTATGAAATAATTAATTTTGATTTAAACAAAGTCTACTTTGGAATTAGAAGTTTTGTTTCCTTGGAAAGGCAAATTGGGGTGAAGAACCACATAAGGACCATATTTTAACCATGTGAAATAAGCTATATAAAAAGTGGCACGAACTAAAAATAGGAGGAAGAAGTGCAAGGCCCTCATTTTAGAAAGCTGAAATGTTTTAACACTAACACGAGCACGCACATACAATTATTTTTTGAGATTCATGTCGAAACGTGGCATGCTCTCCATGGGGAGAACATATGAGGAAGAGGTGGTCCCTATAAGAGAGTGCATGAATCACAGCGGTACTTATAATGATAACCAAATCGCAAAATAATTTTGAAGGTGTAAATAAAACTAAATTGTTGTAAAATATTTTTGACAAATCCCAAAAGGATTATAATTGATTTTAAAAGGTTTCTAATTATTTCATTATTTTTAAAATTGGTTAGAATTGGGAAATCCCATACAAGCTTCCAAACAATCCATATAAAATTGGAAGACTCTTGGAACTAGGAATCCTTCTAAGGCTAATGGTGCATTATATACCCTTGATTTATGATGGGGATGGATCAGCCCTCTCACACCATCAATCTCCTAATAGTATTAGGAAAGCTAATTCACATATTTTGCTCTTTACCCCTCTACAGTACTGTAGAAAGGGATCCCAAACCTCTATTTACATAGTTTTAGGTTTCGTAAGAGCTCCTATGAAATAATTTAGGGCATCATGAGGGAGACTTAGGGAATATCCACATGAGAGTTTTGGATAGGAAAGAGATGGTTATTTGTTTGAAAGAAAGGGTTTTAGGAGGAAAGTAACCAAGAGAGAAAGAGGAGCTGCATTAAGTAATGCCTAGTTTTGACCAATTCCTTCTGTTTTAGAGAAGATTCAAGTGTAGGGCAGAAGAGGGCTTACACCCTACAATTCCAAGCCTGGTTCTTCACCTAAATCAGTAAGGAATGACCTCTTTTTAATGGCTCTTGGGTTCGTGAAAAAGAGAAAGGAGTGGTGAGTGCAAATTAGGGCTAGGGTTTTATGTAATTCCATCTCTTTGTTTGAGAGATCTAAGTAGAGAAGAAGAAACTCTGCAACCTATAACTCCTAGGCTTTGTAACTCACCCAAATCAGAGAGAAAAAAGGTGGAGTAGCTTGCCGGTTGGTGTCATAACAATCCAGACAGATGAGGTGACCGAAGTCCCTATGAGGCGACTCTAGGCAAATTCTGGTTTGTTGACCTTTTTGCAGATTTAACTTTTTTGGAGCACCTACTTGGTGACGTGACTACAACTGTCTTAGATCAAGGTATAATTTTCTTCTTTGGTTTTGAATCCAGTTTCTTCTTGTAAAATTTCGGAGTAGGAACGTGTAAGACCAGGATGATACAGGGCTATTAATAAAAGGTACTCTATCTACAGTTTCAGAAAAAAAGGTGCTCTATGTAATTTTTCCTGGAAAGTTTTATAAGAGGCACCCTGTGTCACCTGGTCAAGCTGTCACAAATTTGAAGATCTAGGGCTCGGGTCCATTGGATTGATAGACAAGAAGGATCTAAAGAGGCAAGATAGAAGAGAGGGGATGGGGGGGTGGTGTGAGATCCTACACTCAGCATCAGACCAAGACAATTAAGTTAGGCAGCAATTTAGCTTAGCAACCAGCAAGTTCTTTGCAATTCTCTAATAAAGGAAATGATCTTGACATAGGATTTCTTAAGGCTAATTTCTTACATTAAGGCATCACAGAAAAAGACAATCCAAGTTTAATGTCCTTCACTTTCTTAACTATATTCCCATGAATAAAGCATACCAGCACATATTGCATTATATCTCCCTAGAGCCTCCAGCTATCTCAAAACTCATGAAAAGTCCCCAAAGCCAAGTTATCTCTGCATATAGCATCTCCCCTAGTCATAAACAGATACTATAACAATGGTAGTCTCCCACAAAAAGACTAGTTGGACTTTGAAAGACCCTCAACTATTTGTTTAAAAAATAGCAAAAGCAAAATTTCAAGACCAAGCACCACATTTTATTTTATTTTTTGAAGAACCAAGCACCACATATATATACTAAGGGAGAATAATTAGTAGAGTGAATTTGGGATTCCTTTCTGTGTCTCTATTTTCCGTTTGTTTTTCCTAAAATCTCTATGTAAGAGAATGAGTAAATCGAGAATTCCTATACTATCTTTCTCATATTGCATTATCAACCATTATCATCAAGCACATTTAACAACTACTTCTATCCCAAACTCCAATCAATGCCTAGATTCTCTCTCGCAAAAGGGTAGGGAAAGTAGAACTCCCATCCCATCTCAAGTTTTTCTAAGACTTCAGATATCTTATTTTAAATTTAAATTAATTATTTCTTAAACAAAAATACAACTAACTTAAAATCTTAAAAATATGTTGACAAATAAATGTCAGAAATAGGAGATCATTAAATACTGGTTAAAAAATCCAATTATTTTATCAGGTATGAATTTATTGCACCAGAAGGATGCCACCAAAAACTAATAGCACAACAACTCTATAAGCTAAGGGACCATATTGTTTTGACAAGAAATTATCAAGACCCTGGCATTATCAAGAACCTAGGCAACAACGATGGCCATACATCCAGAAATGGTAGGGTTCCTTTATTAATTTGACTGTCATTTGTATTAAGCCAGCAACTCCAGTAAGCTAAGAGATCATATTGTTTTGATAATAAATAAGCCAAGAAATTATCAAGACCTAGCATTATCAAGCACCTAGGCAAAGACAACAGGTCATACATTTAGAAATGGTCGGGATCCTGTTTGAATTCCTCAGTCATCTTTATTAAGCCAAATCAAAGAACAGATAATGCAGGACAACAATAATGAACAAATACAGAAACAATATATTCAAACCATATACCGGATTCTTGTTCTTGGAATATAGCATCCAGCTGGGTAGTTTCAATATCTTTCTCAGATCCACTGCAAGATGGTTCTGGAATTTTAATTTCGAGAGTCAGACAAGTAACAATTAGAGAAGTTGCAGTCTGAGGAATAAGTGGATGACGTGACAGCACAACATACAATATACTCAAAGAAGCTAAAGAGGGTACCAGTTGATTCGTTTAAAACAAAAAGTCCATCCTCGTGGTCTGTCTTGTTGTCAGCAGGTAAATCTGGCAGGTTTGCTTCAGGTGATGGGACATCAACAAGAACTGAATGCACCCTACAATCTGCAACATCATTTTTAACTGTTTTCTTTTGAAAATCAGATTCCAAAATATCGACTGGGAGTGTGACGGATATCTGGTTTAAAGTGACACACTCTTTCCCATGATTTAGTTCAAAAGATGTTTCAGGTAAAATGGCAGGTTTGAGGTCCAGAGGTTCTTCACTGCAATCCTCTGATTCAACAACAGGTAGCAATGCTTCTTCATTTAAAGAAGACATTACAGACTCCACCTTTTCTTTATCAGTATCTTGTGTTGCAAAGCCTTCATCCAAGGGGACAGAAGGGTGCAGGTTAATCGGATCCTCAGGAGACAGCACAAAGCCTTCATCCAAGGGGACAGAAGGGTGCAGCCTAATCGAATCCTCAGGACGCGGCACAAAGCCTTCATCTAAGGGGACAGAAGGGTGCAGGCAAATCGGATCCTCAGAAGATGGAGGAAGCAAATCTTGCATAACTTCCTCATAGAATCTACGAACATTGTCACCGACATTGTTCATTTGGGTCTCAACATATTTGGTTGTTTCCTGTAACCAAATATTTTCTTCACATGTCATAAAGTCAATCAAACCAACGAGCAAAACTGGAACATTCGACTGGTGTTGAAAGAAGAAAAAGTGAAGTAGACTACAAATTGGACCATGGTAAAGCATATTCCATGAGGTCATCATTCCTCAATGAAATGCCGGACAGTGGAGAAATAGTTAACCCACCAGATTAGGACATGGCTCCATTGGTGGACCACTCTACATCACTGCCCAACATTGCATTGCATCGTGATAACCCCAATGAAATACAGTTTTCCGTATGCTCCAGGACAGAAGTATATTTTCCAGAACGAAAAACTAGCTGTCAATATACAAAATCACATGCCATAAAATACAATGTCATTTTCAGTCCATGTCATGGATATATAGAAAAAAATTAGATACTTTTAACCAACCAGGTAAAAGAAAAATATGCTTGATACCTGATATTGGTTTGCTCATTCTTTTCATGAACTTAAATGTCAACATACCAACCTTAACAAACTGAGTATGACTCCTATCCACCTCTGTGTACATAGCTTCAAGCTTCCTGTAAACGTTATTCATCCAGAATATCCCTGTGGGTTTTCCGTCCATACTAAACATGGATAAGCCTTACTCAAGTTCTTTCTCTAGTGGAGATAAAATCTGCTCAAGCATAAAGATAGGCTACAAGCACCTTTTATTCCAGTCCCCTCAAGGCAATGCTCACCAACCTGTACACAGAACACACCAGATAACAGCAATGGTCAATGACACAGGAAAACATCTCTCTTTTATTTGGTAGCAAACCATATTAATAAAATGAACAAGTAAAAAGACATGTAAAAAAACAAAAGAAAGAGAGGACATCAAGGAGACAACAAAGCAACAAATCGGTGGCAAACCCACCATCATTCTCCCTACCCCTTGAAAATAACAGTAAGAATGACAATATACTCAGGCAAGTGCATTGCTACTACACTACCTTCTCAAAGAACATGGCTGAAAGAAATTCATTTTGGGAGAAAACATTTATTCAGAAACCATCGATAAGAGCCAAGAAACCAGTCTCTTCCATGCCTATCTAATGACACCAAGGCTGTCTCCTTTGACAACTATTGAGGTGTTCAACACAGGAGGGCAAAGCTTTGTGCACATGAGGATAGCTCGCACCTCTATCAATAAGAAGTCACAACAGCTCAAGGACCCAAGAAGGATACCAGCATTGTTACCTCAACGTCTGAAAGCACATCCCAGATCCCTCTCTTGCCCAGGTTACTAATAGAAAACCCATCAAAGTAAACTTCAAAAATATGCAGCAGGCCATATTGGGAAAAATAGTAAATAAGTTCACAGGAGATGACCACCAACAACCCTAAAGCCACAAAACTATGGGGCAGATAGAAACCACATATAACCTAGTAAAGTTTCTTATTTGGAACAGCTTCCCCTACTCTGGAACCCCTAAAGATGGAATCATTTCGCTCTGTCAGCCTGTCTGCATGCCCCACAAGTGTACACAACTAAGAACATGACTATCTGAAGCACCCAGTTAAGAGATCGGTGATGGAAGCTAGGGTAATTCACATGAAAAGAAAATTTAAGGACACTATAATAAGAAACCCTTAAACAGATGCCTACTGAATCTAGAGAGAACGATCACAATTCAAGAAAGAGTTTGTGACCTCGATATGAAATGTGACAGTTTCATGGAAAAGTTGAGCATTTCCACTCAATAAATAGATTGCAGGTTTAGTTTCCCAGGCAAAAGAGGAATGAAAAGGAAATTTATAACCCTAATAGCAGGTACATATAAATGGAGTTTTAATAACCAATTAAGCAAACATATTTCTTAGCTCACTTCTAAATGCATAATTCTACTCACAGATAGGATGCCAAACACTATCAGAAGAAGGAGGTCACAGTATCAAAGGTCTTTGAACATACCAACAGTTGACTAGTCTGGGATCCAACTTTCAGACGAAATATCAAAAAATAACAGATTGTAGATTACATTGAACTCCTCAATATGCTCAAATGAGTTCATATCCATGCCAATGGAACAAACATGGTGATTTGGAGACTGAACAGAAAACGACCTTTCTCAGCAAGGCCAGTGCACTATTTTCTTAACCAATCCCCACTTCAAGCAGCAGCATACAGCAAGGTTTGGTCCATTCCTTTCCCCTCCCCCACATTATCCCAAATCAGTATAATGTGTCGAGAGATGAGGAAAGACTACCCAATGCAAAGTTCCCCAGGTAATTTGGTCCTACCTACTGAAAACATTCAGCTCCACCTAGGTTTGGCCTCAATCTGTTGAATGCCTTCTCCAACAGTAGACTTCCCCTCTATAACACATCTGGAAAGCACACTGTAGAGTGTTCGCATATTGGCTGTCCTATGGTCACTATGGTTGGAATGGAGCAAAAGGACCTTCCGAAGAAGTTCTAATATACCAAGATCAAAGAGAAAATGAGAGCGGTGATCATTTCATGGATGCTGGCAAGAAAGGAGAAAAGAGTTTGGGGTTACCTCCATCTCCAACGGCATACTATAGAATAGACTCTAAACCCAAACTCAGACATCCCATAAGATGCATCCTATCCCCACTTAGTACCATTAAACTGAACTCTAATGGTGTTTGAGGGGACAACACAGGGCCGCTAGGGAATGGTGGGGTCTTTTGAAATCATCAAGGATATACTGCTAACATATTCAGGACAAGGACTTGCAATGAAGACAAGGCCAAAACTCGGGCATTGCTCACTGGCCTCAGGCTTTACAAGATAGAGGACCACTAATAGCAGTATGCGACTCTGCTAATACTGTGACATGGGCCCAGGACTCCATAAACTGCCCATGAAGACTACATCAAATATTCAGTAGAGTGCTAGAGATCTTATCAACCTCTTCTTGTCTTTCTTTTTCCTTTTTTTTTCCTTTTTTTTCTTTTTCCCTTTTTGATTGTGGCATCTTATCAATTTCAAATGTTTCTTTCCAACATTCTTGCTTGCAGAAGCCCTAGCAAGAGAAGGCACACTCAGACTGACCTTACTCTTAGCTCTGACAAGTCTGCAGAGGATGTTTTCCATATATACGAGAAATTTGGTCCATACCACACTTGTACACCAATTCCATAACTTGAATTTATCAATACAACACTGTTATTCATCAAGAAAGAAAGCACAATCTTTTTACTGATCAGAAAACAGGGCCCTAGAAACTCTTTGACAGATAAAATCAGATCCAATATTATTAAGAGAAGAACAAAAGAAAATACCCCAAATTTTAGGGTGAAGAATAGTCACACGTTTTGGATGCTGAAAACATGGAGGACACACCACTAGTGTTGAACAACTTGGGAGCCAATTACTAGATTATATTTGCTTATAATCCCATTGTATCAATGGAAATTCGTAATGCCAATGAATCACAAATAGCCACGAGTGCCAATTACAGCATCAGCACAAGAAATAGCTATTTATATAACCACCAAGGAGGTTAGGAGTATATATTCAAGTATATGGGTTTTATTGCCACCAAAATAATAACATCTTTTTTCTTTGAAAGTGATAAACAATTTTTATTAGGTATCATGAATAAAGTACAATTTCAGAGATTAACACTAAATCAAATCTCTGGCAATTCACTGCAAACATGATGTTTTACATATGTTAACTATTCCACCCAAAAATAGAAAATTTCAGCAAAACTTTCAGGAAAAACAAAAAACAAAAAACGAAAAGTTTAGTAACATTGTTAGTAGGCAAAAATGCATGCACACAATTTAGAAATTTCTGGTGCGCTTTTCCTTTTCCATAAGCTCTAATCATTTTTTCATAGCCTCTGCTCATGTTCACTGAAAAGCTCAAGAATATGATCTACTAACCTAGCTCAAGAAATGGCTTCAGCCATTCACATGCCTTACATCTCTCCAGTCATATATTTTAAGGACAATCTAATAAATCACCTACATCTAAGAAAACGGACAAAATAGGATAGCCTATAAGGAAAGATCCAAAGTCCTCAGCCCTAATTTAAAAATAAAAAATAAAAATAAAAAAAATGATCAGATTGCAGATGGGAAACAAGAATTTTTATTGGCTACTGAAACTCCATCAAAGCTGGATCCATATCAGAGCCCTGATTAAATGATATCATCCTACTTCCGAACTAACCCCCTTGCCTACCCTGTAATATGCTCCTTCTTTCTGATATTGACTAATTTTGTCCAATCAAGATGACAAAACCAGACAAATGGAGTCTTCATGGATCAAAGAATTGCTCTTCCCAAATCTGGCAGTTGGCTCCCAAAAGGACCTCCCCAACCTAAGAGGGAGAATGGGCTCACTCCATTGAAATAGAACCACACGGAGTTAAATGTTAAGTTCTCATTTGTTCAAATTTCAACGTGTATCTTGCTAGCCCATGATATCAGTTGCCCAAATAGTGATGAATGAAAGCCTCACATTATACCAGATCTCCAAATCTGTGACTGAGAAGGGAAGATTCTATAGTTGGCCAATGTCTAAAAGACATTATTACATACCAATCAAGCCTGAGAATCAAGATCCTCTCAAGAGTCCCCAGTAAAGCATTGATTATAAAGACAAGCTATAATTTTCATGATGGAGGAGGTCATCCAACCTCAGAAATCCTAATTATAAGGCATTTTCAAAATAACGATCTAGCCAAATGGATTCCCATTCTCTAAACCAATATTCAAAAAATCGACTCGGCCAAGGTGCTCGGACCCTGGCCGAGGCGAGTTCATGTCATGCGAAAAAAAAGGGAATAATGCAAGTACATAAAGTTTATATATAATAACATACCTTCACTTGACAGAAGTATGTAAGTTGCTGAGGCCCTTTACAAGAGGTCCAGCCTTCAATTACTGACCCTTGCAAAGGGTTACCTTTTTTTTAATAAAATAAAGGAGATTTTTTTTTTAATAAAAAAAGTAGATCGTGCTTGGGAGGCTTTGAACTCAGGACGAGACTCGTGAGGTAGCCATGGCGTGTATAATAGCCAAAAAGCCGCAGAGGCGCTGCACGAATGAGCTAATGAATAATAATATATATAGAATATCGATACAGGGCACTAGGCCGAGGCCGAGTACGTTGGCCGAGCCCGAGTCACCTCGGTCGAGTCCAAAAACGCTGCTCTAAACTACTAGGTCGTGCTTCATACCTACAGTACTTGTAAAGCAAATAAAATTTCCCGACAAATGACACAGAAACCATCCATAAGAAGATTAGTCGGAGCCACCAAAAGAGTTTGCCTGAAAATGAGCAAACGTGCACCTAAGATAGCAGCGAGAGAAACATAATACAAGGTGTTATTATTTATCTAAGGCTAGTTATCGTCTTTGTTTGGGAATTTTCTAGGTCCCTAGGATACCTCTAGATAGACTATAACTAGCCTTGGATAGACTATAACATCTTGTATTATGTTTCTCTCACTGCTCTCTAAGGCAGTGAGAGAAACATAGTACAAGATGTTACAAATTCCCACCAAAAGGCTAGTTATATTTTTTGTTTTCCCTCTTTTTTATATTTTTTGCTTTCCCTCTTTTCCCTCTTTTCCAGCTAAAACTGGACTGTTTAGTCAAATAAATAATTAAAATCCAATACTCCATCTTTGAAGTTGAGGAGATAATAGGTGAAAGTGCCCAAAACTCATAATGAGTAAAAACAAGAAAAATACCACACTAAAACTGCCAGAATTTGCCAGGCAAAACAGAAGAATTCAATGCTACAAAGAATGCCAGACCAGCAGATACATGGAAAAAATAGAAATTTTACAAGAAATTTGTGATAACAAAGAAATAAGAGCCATGCAGTGACCAGAAATAAACTCCAGGACTGGGACCATAGATTCCCTGTTGCCAGAGAAATGTAAATAGCTTTATGAAGGGATGAGGCAATAAGCATTCTATCCCAATTCATTTGTGTGATTTCCAAGTTCAAATTCATCACTCACTCTTCAGCAATATTACCTCACTCAGCATACAGCTGACAAAATGGTAAAGCATGAGAATGCATATATAATCTTATCCTGATCTAGTTGTGCAATTTCTGTGTTTGAGCTCTCCCCTTCTTCTATATTTCCTTATTAAGCCTACAGCTGAGAAAATATTAAAGGATGTGAATGACTCACATCAATTTCATTTTCTACGATGAAATTAGCAAAGAGCAATTAATTAAGATGCTTACTGCGCCAATCCAGAGCTTCAAAAACTTGCTCCAGAAATGAAAGACAGAGGAAATATCATAGTTAATATTATTTACCATTTATCAAGACCAATATATGAGGAAAACAGTGGTCAAGTTTCAATTTTCTCTTTACAAAGATAAGGTCTTTCATATTTGGGCCATGCAAAAATATTATAAGCTTTGCACTTGGCATGTAACTTGCCAAATTTGCCAACAAAGTATAATCATGACAGGACATGCGTAAGCGAAATTCCACTAGAAAAAAACAACATTGAATTTTAAGAACTAAAGTTCCACATCCAACTATATCTGTTCTAAATATTACAGTGGTATTTGAGCAAGACAGAAGCACATGGAATGGGACCCATGAGCATCCTTAGCGCTGGAAAGGGATCTATCAAATTCAGTAGCAAAGCATATAGTACCTGGTTTGAACATAACTCAGAAACCTTATAGAATACATATTCTTAAATGTGCGATAATATTAAACAAAAATATGAGCGTCAGCAATAATCACTACAAGAAATAATGCCAACAGCAGAAACAAGCAGTTTCAAATAGAGAAATTAGACAGCCTCAAAAAATAATTTCAGAAATCTACTCCATTGATGCAGATGAATTTTGGGGAAGATTTATGGGCCAATAAAGAAACATCAGCCTCCTGAACAAAAAGCAGGGAATCGTCATGAATAGGAATTGTCAATAAACTAAGAAAAAATAAAGGCCACTATATGTTCAGAGTGCGTAATGAGGAGAAGAGTAAACAGCAATCAGAATGGTGTAGTGGTTAAGGAATGCCAAGCACAAACTACGAAGTCATTCTATTTCCTTGAACAAAGCAATCCCTAAGAATCCACCAAACACAAAGACACTGAAACCCATTTTTCGAAACAACCAATTAAGCCCAAATTCTCATTCGCAAACAAAAAAATTGGAAAAGAGAACCTCAAAAACTCGATTGAATATCGAAATGAGTCACCATGCAACTTTAAAACATAATCAACATGCAAATATCCAAACCAAGAATCAAATACAACTAATAAACCAGAAAGAGAACAAAGAGGAAAACAATCGCGCCCTACATGGAAACAAGTTGAACAAACACAGAAAGTTTGAGGCAACGAAACTACAGAAACGATCCCAATTTGATTACAAATAAGGGAATTAAGAAGGGGAACAAAACAAAATTCGCAATTAAAAACCCAAAAAACAAAACGAGAGGGCGATCAACAAAAACCCAAAAACATACACAAGATACAGCACAATACCATTAAAGAAAAGCTCCAAAGTTCGTCGAGAAAGAGAGAAAAAACACCAAAGTGATCAGTCAAAAAGATTCCACCTTTCTGGTGATAAGTAGTAAGAATATATAGACAGGTCCACAAATTTTAATTTCGGGTTAAAAACAAAAAAACAAAAATTCATACTTAGGGTTCAATATTTACCATTAAGAAACAATAAAAACCCAAAACTAATGAAGGGTTTAGAAGGGTTTTATTTCGAATAAGAAAGATTAGTTATTGGGGTTATAAGGGTTTTATTTATGGGTGCAGTTGGCATACGGACCCCTCCGTAGGTGTCGCCCGTAAAATGTTATTAGGATTATTTGAAAATCTATTTTCATATTTACTTATAAAATTTTAAATTTTAAAAATAGTTAAAATCAATTGAGATAGAAACAAAATTGATATAATCTAACATAATAATCAAGAAAGAATAAAGCCGTTTTTTCTATTAACATTTAAAATCTACGGGCTTTACCGGTGTTTTAAAAATCGACGAGTCAAATCTGACTCGCCCGGTTCGACTCGGGAACCGGCACAATCTATGCTGGTTCCATCATAAAATCGGGAACTGCCCGGTTCTAAAGTGTAACCGCAGGTTCCCATCCAATTCACGCACGTGCTCTCGTTCGTCCGTGCGCAAGATTGCCCCAATATTTTTGGGGCATTGCCCGCTTTTAGAAGAGACTCGTCAATTCCGGGCGCATCACTGTATAGAATCGGATGGTGACGTCATGTCTCGGCATGTATGACGTTTCCAAGGGTAATTGGGATATTTGTCTTAAAAATAAAAGTAATTTTCAACATGTTGGACGGCAGCACCACATTCACATACAATCAGGTGTTTCCCCATGTACCATTCGCACGCGCGCTGTTGAAGAGCTCATCCTCACATATTTTATAAACTTGAAAGTCGCTTGATATTTCCGATGTGGGACAATTCCCACTTGCCTTCAACATCGTACAAGCCATCGTCACACAAGCCATTACCTAATAAACGGCCATGAACTATTGCAAGCCATTAACTATTGCAAGCCATTGTCCATATGTGTAGCGTTTTAATTTAGCGTGTCAAATTAATAGCACTAATAAATGGCTGTATAAAATTAAAAAATAAATTAATAGCACTCATTAATTTAGTGTGTCAAATTAAAAAATAGCCATATAAATTTTTTTGATGTTTATTAATAAAATAGTTTTTTTGATGGGTTTTATTACAATATTTTATTTTTATTTTTATTTTTTTGTAGCTATTGTGCATATTGCCGATAGGATTTTTTTAAAAATTTTGGCATCTTTATTTTTCACTTTGGGTAAAGTTATTTTGAATTTTTTAATATAATTACACTAGAATTTATTGGTGGTTTTATTTTTAATTTTAGTCATATGATATGGAAGCCTCTTCTAATAATTTTTTAATCACTTTTAATTTGTTATTATTTGTCTAATAAAATAATTATAAAACTAATAATTATAATTTCAGTATATAATATTATAATTAGTTAGCTTGTAATAATTTTGGATTATAGTTAGTTAGGCTGCAATAATTTGGGTTTTTTTAGCGGATTAGGGTTTTTCGCCAAAACGAGATTTTAATGGCTACTCTTTCATTGATTAGTCTACACTTTATAATAGTCCATGTATAATTATATATTTTATCCATGATAATTCTATGATTTTTTTTTTATGTGATGCAAATTTAATATTTAAGTTTATACAGGGAAAGAGCATCTCAATATATACAAATTGATGAGAAAAATGAAAGTTAATAACGTAGTACCCTTATTTCTTATTGGATTCCTAAAAAACAACATTTATAATGAATTTTAGTCATTTTTTCAGATTTTTTTGAAGCTTTAATCCGACCGATTCAACCGATTCCCGATCCGGATCGCTTATTCGCTGATCCGAATCGGTTTTTGAGATACCCGATCCGGGTCACCGATCCGCTTTTTAAACCATTGGGCTTTACGATAAAAATAATTTTTAAAATAAATAATAGAGGCATAATACAACTGGAAAATAGCAAAAGAAAGCTAGTATAACATAAATAAATAAATAACTTATAAGCGATCCAAAATAAAAAATAATAACATTAAAATAATAATATTAATAAGAATTATAATTTTGTTACTATGTTCAAGTTTATAATAAAAAAATTAAAACTATTCAAGAATCTAAATCCTTAGTTTTTTCAAAGAAATTGAGTTTCACGACCTGTAGAGATATATCAAACCACTTATTTTCTACATATAAAAAAGTCACGTTGCAATTTGAAAAATATACTACTATTTTATTACTATGTTAAAGTTTATAATAAAAAATGAAAACTATTCAAGAATCTAAATCTTTAGTTTCTTCAATCTAATTGAGTTTCACGACTGAGAGAGATCAAACCCTTTATTTTCTATATGTAAAAAATTCATATTACAATTTTAAAAAAATACTACTATTTTATTACTTTGTTCAAGTTTATAATAAAAAAAAAAAATAGAATTATTCAAGAGTCTAAATTCTTAGTTTTTTCGATCTAATTGAGTTCTATGACTAGTGAGAGAGAGATCAAACCACTTATTTTCTTTATAAAAAAAGCATATTACAATTTGAAAATATACTATATAGAGATAGAGACTGACATCTTGATGCCGCAAAGAGCTAAAAAAATCCTGACCTTGAGAGAGTGTTTTCTCATGTCATAAGGTGAGGAGTGACAAGCTTTAGGGCTGAGATGTGCGAAGCTTTTTGGGCTGGGCCGTGAGGATTTATAGCAAGAGAGGATGGAAGAAGTTTTTTTTAAAAAGATATTTCGAGAAGAGAAAATTGAAAAAGATTAAAGAAAAAATAGAAAAAATATTATAGAAAAAATTTAAAAAGCAGAGTTATCAAGAGGTTTCTTTATGATGCCTGTTTTGGGAGTTACGGCAAGATAAAAAAATAAAATAAAGAGAGAAGAAAACCTAATGAGTACGACAAGAAGGATTGAGCAGAAACGCTGTCCTCGCCTCATAGTGGGGGTCGGCCACAGGTCACACCTTGCAAAACCCATCACACGTTTATTTACTATTTACTAAAAGTTTAAAAATTATATAAGTTCAAAAAATCAAAAAGTTTGTACACTTGCAACCTTATCTATATTGCGGGATGGATATATCTCAAAATAAAGACGGACTCTAGAAAGATTTATCTTGCTTAATTATGTAACTTCCTTTTGATTTTAGATAAAGAAGATATAGCCCTTTATGATAATCTATTCCAAATAATTAAACTCACATGGGATATCATTTACTAGATATCTACAAATCTTAGGAGCTACAAGATGTGTTCCAATTTTAGGAGGTGCCCCATAAATTTCGTGCGTGCCAATTTTGTAGAGAGCAATAATTTTTAGTTATAATTTGAATTAATTATAATTATTTTATGATGGGTGCGGTTTTGTATAGAGTTGAGTCTCAAAGTAAAGCCCACTTTCAAATAGTGTCGAGAAATGTGGTTTTAATATCGAAAATCTTTGTGATAGCCTTAAAATATATTTCCATTTTTAATTATAAAATTTAAAGCTTCAAAAATAGTGTAGATCAAGCAGATCTATAAAAACTTAAAAATCTTGATAATTGACGGTAAAAAAATGTCTTACAAGATGCATTATTTCTAAAACTTGAAATTCATTTTTTTCTCATGTCCATGCATCTTGATATCAAGATGCATCTTAATATCAAGATGATCAATTTGAGGATATTTGGGCATCAACACAACCTCTTCTAGTGAAATTTTGAAGTGGGCTCAAATTTGATTGTTTAGAGCCTCGGCTCTATATAAACTATTTCCTTTGATATATATATATACTATAAGTATTTTATTACTATTAACTTTGTAATAATATTAAAATATAAATAGTATTTTACATGCTTTTACTAATTCAATTATAATCCTATATAATATCTATGATTTTTTCCTTTTAGACAAGGCTACATAAGAATGGAACTTGAGACGAGGTGTTATAAAAACACACCTAGTACCGCCTTGACTGAAGCCCGACTCCTTAGATTTATTATATCATGCATTATTATTATTATAATATTTGTGTAATATTATATAATATTTTTATATATTTTTATTTTCTATTAAGTCCTAAAATATATTAGAAATATCTTCTATTAGAAATTTTGTTATATTATATATATGTTATGCTTTATAAGGTAAAAGTAGAAGTCTGTGATATGGAAATGATGTGCCATTATTTGATTTTTGACCCATGCAATTATCTCTAATTTACTCGACTTTATTTGCAAATTTTTAATTTCAAGTCTTTAAAATAGAAAATCTTATAACAAGTTATCTAGGCCATCTATTTTCAATATATATTTTTAAGGTTTTTATAGATTTGCTCGACATGTACTATTTTGATATTTAAAATTTTATAATTGGAAATAAAAATAGATTTTCAAGCCGCTATAAAAATTTCAACGCCAAAGCTACATCTCCGAACAAATTTTAGATGTGTAGTTTACTTATGGGCAAGCTTTCTATGCTGCCACGACAGCATAAAACTTATATACTCCGTATCCAACCGTCCATTCTGAATGGAGGGCTAAGATTTCCCCAATCACAATGTGACGTCTCTACTCTATTTTATTTTAAATTTTTTTCTACAAACTATTTTGACAAAAATTTTGAATGTCCATTCGTCTATTAAACGTGCACTAGCAAAAAATGGAAAAAAAATATTTTCAATAAAATAAAATGACCAAAATACCCTTGAAAGTTTCAAAGGGTATTTTGGTCATTATATTTTATTGAAAAATTATTTTTTTATATGTGCATCCCAATGAGAAGATGGCACATATCAAATTTCATATTCATACAATTTGTATAAAAAGAAAGTAAAAATAAAATGCTTTGAGACGTCGGATCTAAGATTAAA